CACGTTTCCATGATGAAGTTCCTTCACATACAGGGTCATCGGGACCTGGGGCTTCATCAGCTAGGAAACAGATAGAATAAAATCTTTTTAAATGTTTCATTAAATGTAAAATGAATAGGATAAATTTATGATAAAAGATGCATTAGTTGTAAAATTAGTGTTAACTCTAAAATTACTTATGAAATCAAAGGTAACCAAGAAACTGGAAACAAATACAAAATTAGTGTGTTTTTATAATTAAGTTCTATGGCCTTTATTAGGATAATCTGAGTTTTCATAAAGAGCAATTCTTTAAAGTACATTTCCTTTATTCACTGGCAGGATAAAAGGGTTAGACAGAGAGATGTTAACAGAAATAACATGGAAAGCTTTGGAAAGGAAAAAAGCTACAATAAGAAAATCAACTTTTTTCATTTCTTTTTGTTGTAAATTTCTTATCCTTTTCATCTTTGTGCACACGTTACTGTGTTTGTGCTTGTGTTTATAGAAAACTTTGTTAAGTACACTATCTTACCAATACATCATAAAACCATACTTCTAGAACTCAATTACTTGTCTGTAGTAATTTTAGCAGCTAATGAATACAATGGTGATTTGTGTTTGACTGTTATAGTTTACAGCAGGGGAGTAGAGGTTTCATTTATAAGCCTGTGGAATAGCAATTCATTTCATCCCTGTTACACTAAACAGCAATTTTAACAAGGTGACAATGGAACTCATTTGGTTTATATAGTATAAGTGACAATCATTTAGTTGTTAGTAATTGAGCAATTTATGAACAGAATAATGATTTGTGTTTTACTGTTATCATTTAGACTAAAAAGTTAATATGAAGGTGTACAGCAGGGGAGTACATGCTTCCATTATAACAATATGGACAAGCAATAAATTTCATTGCATGGTTCACAATTTATAGCAATTTATGCAGGGCAAGCATGAAACTTATTTGGTTAACAATGTAAGGGTGACCATGTAACTTATTTGGTTAATATACTAGGTACTATCAAAGTGGTAAATAATTTTAAATTGTACCAGTACTATATTCATTACCATGAGTAATACTTATGATAATCATTATGTTATAGTGATAGATAAGTTATCTGAAAGTTGTACCCTAAACTTAAAGGAAAATCAAAATGAAAGAAAAAGAAAAGTAAAAGGAAACAAGAAAAGATATATGAGGAAAATAAAATGAAAAAAGAGAAGCATTATTAAAAAAAAGAGAAAAAAGAAAATATGAATAAGAAAAAAAAAAAAAAAAACAGGAGAAAAGAACATAAGCAAACAGAAAATAAGAAATAAAATACCGCTGCATCCTCTCTTAGTACATGCCCCTTGGCCTTTGATGCAACGACACCAGTTGCAGTCGAGACGCCAATGAGATCCTTCAGTGCATGTGGCTCCTTCCTCTCGTGTGACAGTTACTGCCACTGGTGGTGCTTGAGGTCCTGGCAATGTTTATTAGTAGTAAATAATCTGTATTTGTTTCCTTGAAAATGCAATATATCTGTTTATCATCTGTGGGTAAGGGCAGGGCCATTATTTCCTCTATTCATTTTAAGGCAAAATTAGTTAACACAATGGCATAGATTTTACTTTGATCATTAGGGTTTCCTTGTGTAAAATCAATTGATTCAACTCCTATCTACTTACGTTGTACTCCACAAGCCTTATAAGTACAAATGGCTTTTCCATTTGCACAGTTACACCAATTGCAGTCCACTCTCCAACTGGAATTGCCATGACAAACAGGCTCGTCTGGTGAGGGCTCAAAATCTATGAAAAAAAAATGTCTTTAAATTATAATATTAAATTTCATTTCTCCTTTTAAAAACCTTAGTCATACATATGCGTAAGTACAACTGTTTTGCTAATCATAATAAGTTTGCATATTAAGGTATGGGAAAATAATACTTTAAAAGTTAAATGCTTACAAACAAGACTAAAATTATGGAAAACTACTTTGGAAAAGTGGGCCTAGCACATTATTTGTAAATCCTCAACAAATAATGAAAAGTGCATTGTGGACTCTCTATACTTCATGACAAGAGCAAAAATGTGTTGATCTTAACATAAAAGCAGGAGTCATCCCCTAACCTGGGATACACCTTCTCTTTGAACAAGCTGCTTTTCCTTCAATACAACGGCAGGAGTTGCATGACTGTAGCCAGCGTGATCCCTCTGTACACTCAGGTTCCTCTTGAGTCACTGTTACTTCCACTGTTGGCTGAGAATGCACAGCAGGGGCTGAAAAAGAACATCAACATATGGTATGCTGTAGATCACAGGAATTTCAAAAGAAGAGCACTACATACTAAGTCTTACATCAAGATTTTGTCATAGCATTTGATCAAGGATTGGACTAAAAGCGTGAATATATGAAGGATAATTTTCCTCACATCCCTTTTTGTAACATTAAGCACATACAATAAGAACTGATCAGACTTACTGCTTATGCAAGCTCTTGTTGTGCAAATCCCTCTGCCATTATGACAGTTGC